ATAGCAGCGCCCGAGGTGTCATTTTAACCGGAATTAGAGCTCCAAAGTCGGTTAAAATGCCCGTTTCCCACAACCTCTTTCCCTTGCACTGTAGATCACCACGGTGTGAGACCGGTGTCATTTGAATGCTATTAAAGAGCTCTTTTTAGTTGTTATAATGTGGTTGTGTAAACATATAATATATAATGTGCTGTGGTCATCATGATCTGGAGCTATCAGGCTGTCCAGAGCTGATGGTTTTCCAGGAAAAACCAAACGTGATCACTCTGGGGGAACTCTATGGGTGGAGCAGATTGGGAACTCTGGTGTTCAAACAGTGCAACTGCATTAAGTGAATAATTAATAGAATGCTAATTTCCACAATCGGAATCAGGCTTATATTCGTTAAATAATTCATGTTTGTTTGTTTATTTTATTTTTTTAATAATCAGAATATGCAATATGCTGTTGGAGGATCCGGAATATCAGAGGAACGCGAACTCTGTATTAACTCAGAGAAGTGTACTCCTTGAGACAAATGACAACGAAACACAGGTTTGTACTGTTCATCTTTAGAAAGATTCAGGCTAGCAGTGTTTGTTCTGGCCGATTTTCATATTCGAGTTTCCGTACCAGTAAACGAACGATATTTCCAACCGTTTGGAAGGAAACAATAGGACGTTGGTCGGTAACAGCGTCTCAAACCGTCATTATGCCTTTACAGTTATACTTTCCACACAATTCGTTCACAATTGTACATTACAGTTATTTGAACTGGTCACAGTGAATTGTTTGATTGCGTAATTATCTATTTTCTGTCCAACTCTGTAGTCGATAAACCCCTCGCTCATTCACATGTTCATATTTAATAGAATGCAAAAGCTGGTCATGATATTGTAATTGTTAATGAAAGCTTTCATCTATGAACTTGTGTAACACTGATATTTCATGGTGTTGTAGTTGACAGGATTTAGTACATCAGTACATAATTGTACTTTATCAGAGGTGCTAACATTTACAGTTTAATCATAGAATTGGCGAATTTTGGCCCCTTATTGTAGCGATAGAAGAAACACCTGAAAAACTAAAGTGGTCACCCCATCTCTCATTGATGTTTAGGTTTCGACCATGCAAGTTTAAAAAGTTTGAAACAGTCCGTAAAGCTACGCAAGACATCATTCGCGGAGATATTTCTTCCCGAAAAGTTATGCAGTGGAAGGTCGGTGTAATTAATGTGCGTGACAGTGTATGAAATCCAATCACTCTCTGAGCGGTCCAGAATTTTTCTTCTTTAGGAAACCGAGAACTATTTCGATTATTGGAAGTTAAATCGTGTTGGCCCAGAGGTTGCAGTTCAAGCTGCGGAGATGCTGATGGGAGACTTCAGGATGCTAAGCTGCCAGGACCTCAAATGGGCGCTGAATTGCCTCAAAGGACACTATGCAATCACCCGCAAGGTACTGCTCGTAACCGTCCATCAATGTCTTTCAGGTCTAGTCGTACTTGGACTGTGTGTGATTCTTGTTTTGTTCCAGGCCTTATATGAAGCCCTTAAGAAGTGGCAAGAAAACTCTACTGACCCCTCAGGGAAGAGGAAGAAGAGAAAAGAGCCAAACGAACGAGCCTTTATCGAATTCAAGTTTGAGCAAGGTGATCACAGTGACGTGTCTGTTCTCTTTATGATTTTTCCGGTGTGGCAGGCGTCCTGGGAAACCCCTACATGCTGTCAAATTCTTATACTTTCTACTATGCGGCGTGTAGGCATTTCTGAACGTATGTTTTCGTCTCAGACATTTCAAGAATGACAGCAGACTGGTTATTACAGAAGTGAAAAGGGAGAAAATGACATCCAAATCCACTTAAAGACGCTCTGCCTACTTCTACAGTTAAAACCTAATACGTATAGACTGGGAAAAGACTTTCATCATAAGAGTCGATGTGTCTGGTGCAACGGTTACTTAACCAACAACTGTAACATGCATTATATGGCCAAAAGTATGTGGACACCCGAACATCAAACTCATATGAGCTTGTTGAACATCTCATTCCAGATTTATGCCCCCTTCGCTGTTATAGTAACCTCCACTCTTCTGGGAAGGCTTTCCACTAAATTTTTGAGCGTGGCTGTGGGGATTTGTGTTCATTCAGCTAAAAGCGCATTACTGATGTTGTTTGATGAGGAGATCTGGGGTGCAGTCGGTGTTCCAGTTCATCCCAAAGGTGTTCAGTGGGGTTGAGGTCAGGGCTCTGTGCTAAACACTCGAGTTCTTCCACTCCAGCCTCCAGTCTTCATGGAGCTCGCTTTGTGCACAGGGATAGAGTCATGCTGGAACAGTTTCAGAAGTTCCAGTGAAGGAAAATTGTAATACAACAGCACACAAAGACATTCTGTACAATTGTGTGCTTCCAACTTTGTGGTAACGTTTTGGAGAAGATGGGTGTGATGGTCAGGTGTCCGCATACTTTTGGCCATGCTAGATTTTAGATCTCGGTTCCTGAATGGAATGTAATACAGTAAAGATGTCATTGGAGGCAGCAGCATTATTACTATTCAGTCCCTACAGGATTTTGCAATCAGAAAATGAACACAAAATCAAGGAAACGCCGCCGTGTTCAGAGGTTGTGACGTCATCACAACGCGCATTCGGTCAAAGCCCTCTTCGATTCATGTGTGTCGTAAAGGTCTCATTGACCAACAAACATCACTGTGAAAAACAATTTCGTGCGATTACAATTTCGCCAATTCAAGTAGTAAAAATTGACCCAATTCTCTGCAAATTGCATCGCAAATTTTTGAAGAAGAAAAAAAAAGCTTCAGCAAAATCAAGAATTTCTGGCCGCAACGATCACCAAAAACAAAACGGTAGTGAAATCCTGTACTGACTGATCTGTTAGACCACATAGGACTGTGCGCTGACTGTGCAGATTTCACCCACAGTGACGCACGACAGATTTCCCCCAGACCAGCACACGTTCATCGAACATGAGCTGGCTGAATGCTCTGAATCGTCTCTTACTTTCCAGGTTCCTTCAAACTGGAGAGGAAAATGTTCTTTCTAGAGAAAAACCGGAGATGGAGCAGGAACTCCGACGTGCCGCTCGAGCCTTCTCTAACGAAAGAGCTTCAGTTTTATGATCAGAAAGCAAAGGAAATGGCGGAGGTACTTTTTAAATGGCCTTTTAAAAACGGATTTTCATTTCCTCTTTGCATTTAGTTCAGATCAGCACTAGATTGCGTGAAGGAGTGTGTTTATCCTGAGCTGTATATCAGGATGTGTGATCTGGCAGAAGTATATCAGACAACACACCGATATTGTCATGATGCACAATATGTACATTTCAGTTTTGCTAACAAAGTACGAGACCGCAGCGCCTCATCAAAGAAATAAATATACCCCGATCAGCCATAACCATTAATCAGCCATTAAAACCGCCTGCTTAATATTGTGTAGGTCCTCGTTGTGCCACCAAAGCAGCCGTGACTCATCAACACATGGACTCCTCAAGACCTCTGAAGGTGTGCTGTGGTATCTGGCACCAACACGTTAGCAGCACGTTAGCTTGTTTGTCCAGAACTTCACACACGTGCTCGATCAGATTGAGATCTGGGGAATTTGGAGGCCGAATCAACACTTCAACTCTTTGTCATGTTCCTCAAACTGTTCCTGAACAATTTTTGCAGTGTCCGTGCGCATTATCCTGCTGAAAAACGCCACTGCCGTTCGGGAATACCGTTGCTATGAAGGGGTGTACCTGGTCTGCAACAATGTTTACCTTGGTGGTACGTGTCAAAAACAACATCCACATGAATGCCAGGACCCAAGGTTTCCCAGTAGAACATTACCCAGAGCATCACACTGCCAGCACCAGCTTGCCTTCTTCCCTTCACTGGTCGTCTTTCCTTGGAACACTTTTGGTAGGTGCTAACCACTGCATACCGGGAACACCCCACAAGACCTGCCGTTTTAGAGACGCTCTGACCCAGTCGTCTCAACATCACAATTTGGCCCTTGTCAAAGTCCCTCAGATCTGTAAAGATCTGTTGCCCATTTTTCCTGCTTCCAACACATCGACTTCAAGAACTGACTGTTCACTTGCTGCCTAATATACAGTATCCCACCGCTTGAGAGATGCCATTGTAACCAGATAATCCATGTTATTCACTTCACCTGTCAGTGGGTTTTAATGTTATGGCTGATCGGCGTATATATTTCACGTCCTGGATGTTAAAAACGAACCAGTCAGTGTGAGAATTTTATATTTTCCGATTTTATTGCCCAATCAGATGCTTGCTCTGTAAGAGAACAGTTGTCAGGGTTGTAATAGTACTGATGATGCCTACAATCATTGCAATAAAGTGGATCTAACGAGTTTTTTTTTCTTTTTCTTCTTCTGTTTTTGTTGCTGCTTTCAGCATGAAGACTTCCTGCTGGCATTGCAAGTTAATGAGGAGCAGTATCAGAAGGTGAGCCTGTCATACCATGGTTATACATTTCAAATCAAAGCAAATTTTGTACTTGTCTCATATATAAGCGTACATAGCGTGACACGCAGTGAAATGCTTTTTACGACCGCACCGATATGTAAAACAGAATTTTAAAAAGATATAATAAAGATAATAGTATAATAAGAGAATATAATATAGACAGAATAAACCTAGAATAGATGAATAGAAAAATCCAATAGAACATTTTCGAAAGAATTTACAGTTTAGAATATAATACAAAAATTACGATTATATATAGTAGAATTACAAAACTGAAAAGGAAAATTTACAATTATAATATATTAATTGCATTTGTTTTTTACTATTTGTAAAAAATAAAAAGAATTGGAATGATGAATGGCGCACTTATATAGCGCTTTTATCCAAAGCGCTTTACACTGTGTCTTATTCACCCATTCACACACACACATTCACACACCAATGGTAGCAGAGCTGCCATGCAAGGCGCTAACTTGCCATCGGGAGCAACTTGGGGTTCAGTGTCTTGCCCAAGAACACTTCGTGTGGAGTCAAGTGGGCCGGGAATCGAACCGCCAACCCTACGATTGATGGTCGACCCGCTCTACCACCTGAGCCACAGCGGCCCCGTGAAAGAATTTAAATTCTTTCCTAGTGATTCTTAAAAAAATAAAATAAAATTAAAAGTCCTTTGAGGATTAATTTTCCATAACTAACTCTGTTGTTACCTGGAAAGGTAAAATCATGATCAAACAATTGCGAAGAAAAGGAAGACACTATATTTTGAATGTAAGCATATGTCTTTTTATTAGAAAGTGTTGTAGTGTGCATTAAGTGATCTAGCTGCAAATATGACTTTAAAAAAAAAAAAGAGCTAAATTCAGTCTTCAGTGTTCCTTTAAAGAAACGAAAGAGCTGCGTGTTTGCAAATCCCCTTTATAATGATTAAAGATTAGTCTAATAATAAGTAGCCGCTCTAATTCCTTCTAATACCGTCAACTAAAAATGCTCTAGTTTAGTCAGTGGCCGTGTACTTTTCAGGACGGTCAGCTGATCGAGTGTGGCTGCTGCTGTGGAGAATTCGCCTTTGAGGAGATGACCCAGTGCAGCGATGGCCATCTCTTCTGTAAGGAGTGCCTGGTGAAGTACGCGCAGGAGGCCGTGTTCGGGACAGGACGGGTAAGCCCTGAGCAAACTCGGGTACGATCTATGATCACAGAGCCAGCGAATCTTCAGATGATCTGCTAAACGTTCTGCATTATTATTATTATTATTATTATTATAAAGATTATAGCACTACGTGGTTGAATGCTCGTCTCTGATTGGTCAGAAGGTGTGTGTTGTTTTTGTATAGCGGCATGACTCGGCAGATGCATCACATAATCTAAGACTAATAATAAAAAGGAAAAGCACAGGAAAAGCATACAAAGTTGATGAGCTGGTGAATACATGTATTCAACATTTACGGGAGGAGTCTGTGTTGTAAGCGCTTTGCAAAGTTTTCCAGCACAGGAAAGACTCCAGGACAGAGGAGTTTACATGTTCTGGTTTCTATGTAAAATAACAAGCTGTGTTTCTGAGAGAGAGAGAGAGAGAGAGAGAGTGCGAGTGGGCGAGAAATAGAGCGAGAGAGAGAGAAAGAGAAAGTGAGTGAATGCAGGTCGGTTCAGCTGGAACATGACTGAAACTGTGAAAACATTGCCTGGCATTGCGGAAATCACCAATTCAACTGTGTTCGTTCTCGGCTCTTTGAAATCCCCCTTGTTTTCGTGGTGACGGTGTTTTCCGCGTCCTATCTTAATAAGTTCCACTTTTATTTTGATTCGATTGCTCCTGCTGTTAAACATTGTGTTGATTTAATACTTTAATAGATTAGTTGTGGAACTCTTCAAAGTTAGCCCTCACTCCACTCCTCCTGCAGTTGAGAGGTGATTCGTCAGCGTTTAACTGTGTTTAACCGTAAGCATGTTTTGCGTTGCAGTCGGAGCTGAGCTGCATGGAGGGCAGCTGTACCTGCTCCTTCCCTACCAGTGAGCTGGAGAAGGTTTTACCGGAGAACATCCTGTGTAAATACTACGAGCGGCAGGCCGAGGAAGCCGTGGCCGCTACCTGTGCGGACGAGCTGGTCAGGTGTCCGTTTTGTAACTTCCCTGCTCTCCTGGACAAAGAGATTTCTCTTTTCAGCTGCCCCAATCCCCGCTGCAGAAAGGTTAGTGCAGACAGTAAACCTTTCTCGTGGTCGAATGGATGTGAGCGTGATCATATTCAGGGTGTCCCAAAAGTCTCCATACATAGAGGACTGTGTTTCCCAGCACCACGTCGGTTGTGTCTTCGTCAGCGGCTGTTGACGTGGATGTCCGCTTCTCGGTCCACCCATGTTTCCTGTTAACATTGCAACAGCTTCCCGATCCAGCCATGAGGACGATTTTGATACACTTCTCTTTTATCAAAGGCGTTATTAAAGGCTGTCTGGAAAAACAAACAAAAAAAAATATATATATATATAATGATATAGATATAATATAAACAAAGTATTAAACATTTTGTCAGATGTCTTGCTAAAAAGTGTTCATTTCCCTCTGTTTATAGACTTCTGGGGCACCCTGGGATTGTGGCTTATTCAACACACATTTACAGTGGCAAGAAAAAGTATGTGAACCTTTTGCAATTTCATGGTTTTCTGCATAAATTTGTCTTAAAATATGATCTGATCTTCATCTAAGTCAGGGGTATTGACAATTATAATGTGTCTCAAATAATCACACAAAATAAATTCTGGAGTCTCACACCTGGAGTCTCGTTAAGAAAATGAGTTTGGAGATGTGGACTACAGATACTTTGACTGATAAAAATCCCTCAAACTTTTGGAGTTTGCTCTGTACAAGAGGCACACACTTATGTGAGCCACGCCTCGCCAAAAAGAGCTTTCAGAGGATCTACGATCAAGAATCGTTGATTTACATAAAGCTGGCAAGGGTCACAAAGTGATTTCAAAGACTTTAGAAATTCACCAGTCTACAGGCAAACATTCTACAAATGGAGACACTTTGGGACTGTTGCTACTCTACCAAGAAGTGGGCGCCCAGTCAAAATGACACCAAGAGCACATCGAAGACTCATCAATGAGGTAAAGAAACAACACCGAATAACAGCTAAAGATTTGAAGGCATCATTGGAACTGGCTAACATCTCTGTTCATGAGTCTACAATACGCAAAACATTGAACAAGCAGATTATCCACGGCAGGACACCACGAAGGAAGCCACTGCTTACTAAAAATAACATTGCTGCACGCCTGAAGTCTGCAAAAGAGCACATTGACACTCCACAGCAGTACGGGCAAAATGTTTTGTGGACTGATGAAATTAAGATTGAACTATTTGGAAAAACCACACAGCACTACATCTGGCATAGAAAGGGCACGGAATATCACCATGAAAACATCATCCCCACTGTAAAGTATGGTGGAGGAAACCTCATGATTTGGGTCTGCTTTGCTGCATCAAGGCCTGGCCAGCTTTGAATCATTGAGGGGAAGATGAATTCTCAAGTATATCAGACAATTCTTCAGGATAATGTGAGAATGTCTGTACGTCTGCTGAAACTGTGTAGAAGTTCTGTGCTGCAACAGGACAACGACCCAAAACTCCAGAGCAAGTCCACAACAGAATGGCTTCAGAAAAACAAAATCTGCCTTTTGGAGTGGAGTCAGAGCTCAGACCTCAACCCAGTAGAGATGCTGTGGAATGACTTGAAGAAAGCCATACACGAGACGTCCGAAGAATATGACCGAGCTAAAGCAGTTCTGTCAGGAAGAATGGGCTAAAATGATGAACCATGTGCAGGTCTGATCCACAGCTACAGGAAGCGCCTGGTTGAGGTTATTGCTGCCAGGGATGGGGGAGTGGGGGGGGTCAACCAGTTATTAATTCTAAGGGTTCACTTACTTTTTCCACTGCCATTTTGAATGTTGAATGAGTGTGTTTAATAAAGACATGAGGGATCAGAATTTATTTTGTGTTATTATTTTAGACACATTATATTTGTCAATACCCCTGACTTAGATGAAGATCAGATCACATTTTATAACAAATATATTCAGAAAACCATGAAATTCCAAAAGGTTCACATATTTTTTCTTGCCACTGTGTCATTTATAGCAGAAGACATTTAGAGGCATGAACTCAACCTTTAATGTTTTAACTTAAGAATATAGCTGTTGTATCTAGTCCTAGGGTTAGGCTTATGCTAAAATTGACCCCCATGTAATACTAATAAAATAGTTCAAAGGTCATTTAATGTTCTCCTGTTTACTTCACGTTATACAGTATAAATCCGTATTAATGAGCTGTACAGATATCGTAACATGAATTGTTCATACCGTTCCATCCCTGTGTGTTAACCTTTTTATTACGCCGTCACTTCCACGCTTAAAACGCAGCACGTCGTTGGAATACCATTCGCACGGTGTAGGTGGTGAAAACAAGAGTCTGATCTGTATCTTCACCTTGAAATAGCTTTACACCTTTATCTTGTTACTTGTCTTCCAGACAGATGATGTCCACTAGTATAACTATTAACAAGCTTCACTTTTCAGAATGCAAAGGAAATGCAAATACCATTAGGTCATAACGTGGATGAAGAACTCGAGAGAAAGAGAGAAGACGATGAGGGAGGGAGTGAGTGTGTGAGTGTTTGTTGCTGTTCGAGCAAAAGTGATAACTAAGTTGTTTCAAGGTCATTTTATATTCATAGACATTCATTCAAATTCCATACAACCATCAGATCGCTGCATTTACACAAAAAAAAATAACAAGAATGCTCCTCCTGTTTTAGCGAACGGTAACCTGTTCATAATTGACTTTTAGAATCGTAATGAATGCAAAATGAAACGAATATATGTTGAAGAGCGTATCAATTCTACAAGGGCGGAACCCGAAAGTGTCCACAAAGATTTCGTCATCTTCTTCTTTTACATCCAAATCCTTAATATAATCAACGAAAAGGCTCCGTATGTTTTCAGATTCTTGCTGTTTAGCCTTTAATATGCAAGTTATCTTTTCTAATGGAAGACTTGAGGACATCTGTCTTATCCATTGAGTAGTACTTGGTCTATGAATCTTTGTCCACAACAGAGACGCACCTTTATTTTGGCATGATATATTTTGGCACTATAATTATGATCGTTTCTCTGGGTATACAACAGAAAAATCTTAGGCTCCAGTCAAATGAACCTCTCATATTTTCAACTTGAAGTTTGAGTGACGTTGTGTATTTCTTGATGTGGGTGGAGTTAATGTACTGTACAAGCACACACGAAAACGTGCTCTTTTAAATTTATCTGCAGAATTATTTCTATTTACTTATTGTTTGCACATCATACAGGTTTTTATTTTATTTATTTATTTTTTAAATCTTCCTAAGAGATGAAGAGATTTTTAATTTCCGAGACTTAGGGGTTAGCTAACCCTAACCCTAAGATACGATCTGCTCTGCTGATATTTAAATGGAAATCGTCCTGGTAGATTGCTGCATGAAAAGGAGTTTCTTTCCCGTCACTAGGTGGCGCTTTGGACCGAAATTGAATGAGACTAAGGGCTTTCTGCACTGGCGGGCAGGGCCTCCTCT